TAAAACACAGAGGTCGCCCTTGGCTATTCTGCACCAGGAGGTTTTATAGGGGTCTGTTTTGTGCTTTCACATAGTGTGTATCTAAAGAGCTCAGAGCACAGGGGCTGGCACTGTGGCACAGCAGGTAAGGCCACCGCCCGCAGTGCACGCATCCCACGTGGGCGCCGGTTTCAGTCCCGGCTGCTCCACTTCCCATCCAGCTCCCTGCTAACGTGCTGGGAAAGCAGCAGAGGACGGCCCAAGTGCGTGGACCCCTGCACCCACGTGGGAGACCTGCAGGAAGCTCCTGGCTTCAGTCTGGCCCAGCCCTGGCCGTTGTGGCCATCTGGGGAGGGAATCAGCGGGTGGAAGGTTTCTCTCCATCTCTGCTTTTCTCTGTAACTGTGCCTTTTAAATACATTTAAAATAATAATAAAAATAAAAGACGGCTTAAAGTACAAAATGCATCCCATATAACTGGTCTTCATGACTTCTAACAGGATGACTTAGAAGCAGTGTCAGCACCAGTCTAACTTGGCTTGTACAAGAAGCAGGGCATGGATTAGGGGAGGAAGGGGCAGGCTGCCCTTCTGATGGGGAGGCCCTGAAACTGTGCTACAACCTAAGAGATAGCAGGGGCAGGCAGTGTGGCACAGCAGGTAAAGCCACGCTTGCCAGGCCAGCATTCCACACTGGAGTGCCACTTCCTGTCCAGCTTCCTGCCAATGCACTTGGGAAAACAACAGAAGATGGCCTAAGTATTTAGGCCCCTGTCACCCACGTAGGAGACCAGGAGGGAGTTCCTGGCTGCTGGCTTCAGCCTGGCCCAGACCTGGCTGTTGTGGCCATTTGGGCAGCGAACCAGCAGATGAGGATTTGTCTGTCACTCTGCCTTTCAAATAAGTAAGTAAATCTTAAGGACAAAAACGACAGCAGCAGACACAGTATGCCCTCATTTTCCTGTTTCCAAAATAAGCTCACACCAACCATCCCATTTCTACCTCATGCAAATCATAATCCACTTGCACACTCTCTCCATGTATGTTCTTAGATATGAACATTTCCAATTAACAAACTGAATTACTTTACTCATTAGGCTGGACCAGAGGGAACGACCTCTGTGCCCTAGGTCATATGAAAGCAGGACAAGCTGCTCACTAGCACCACGAAAATGTTCTCTCTGCTGCAGTGCTGGCAGGCTTGGGAAGGAAATCTCTCCTCGGAGACGCCAGGGACACTCTCTAGCCATCCCGGAGATACTGAGAAGGCAGCACCGACGACACCTTTTAGATCTGAAGGTCTATGGTTTTTACATTAAATCAAATGTTAAACTACAGGGAGAGAAGAGAAAGGAGAATGTGAACAGAAGAAGTGAGTTAGTCTCCTATGTAGCTGCTACGGCTCCTCTAGGACAGAAGTCGCATACTCCACAGAACACACGTCTCACTGAAGCAGGCACCAAGAGCCCGAGGAGTGATGAAACGCAGGCATCATAACTCATAGGGAACAACAGCATAGCACCACACACCAAGCCTTTCTTACTAAAACCAGCAGTATTAACCCATTCCCTATTTCTTTTCCTATGCACTTCTGAGGAAAAAAAACCTGTAATTCTGTTACTAAAAATGGTAGAAATGTAAGACACTTGTGTTCCCTAAAGGGAACTGAGAAGGCTGAGTAATTCAGTAAAGCACTCTGAGGTTTATAAAGTCATCCAAGGAAACAGTGAAACACGTGGGACACAACAAAGGCCACTAGATATGTTCTTTTTCTTCTCTTTTTTTTAATTACTTTTTTTTTATTTGACAGGTAGTTAGACAGTGAGAGAGAGAGACAGAGAGAAAGGTCTTCCTTCCGTTGGTTCACCCCCAAATGGCTGCTACGGTCAGCACTGCGCCAATCTGAAGCCAGGAGCCAGGTGCTTCCTCCTGGTCTCCTATGTGGGTGCAGGGCCCAACCACTTGGGCTACCCTCCACGGCCTCCCCGGGCCACAGCAGAGAGCTGGACTGGAAGAGGAGCAACCGGGACTAGAACCCAGCGCTCATATGGGATGCCAGTGCCACAGGCAGAGGATTAACCAAGTGAGCCATGGCGCCGGCCCCAGATATGTTCTTTTCCAAAATGAGGGGTTGTCAGGCTGTGGTGTAGTGAGTAAAGCGGCTGCCTGCAATAGCGGCATCCTATATGGGCGCTGGTTTGAGTCCGGCTGCTCCACTTCTGATCCAGCTCTCTGCTAATGGCCTGGGGAAACAGTGGAAGATGGCCCAGGTGCTTGGCGCCTGCACCAGCGTGGGGGACCCAGAGAGACTCCTCGCTCCTGGCTTATCAGCTCAGCTCTGGCCCTTGCGGCCATTTGGGAAGTGAATCAGTGGATGGAGGACATTTTTCTCTGCTTCTCCCTCTCCCTGTCTGTAACTCTCTCAACTAAATAAATAAAATAAAAAAAAGAGATCTCTAAGTTATGTTCTAATATTCAGCCAACTTCAAAACAGTCTCATAAATAAATAATTTTATTTTGTGATAAGAGAAATTGATATAAAAGGCGTAAATACCAAAAATTACAGAAATCTTGCTGTTATGTCAATTCCAGCATCCTGCCCCATTTTAACAAGTAAGAAATCCAGTGTACTTCACAATTACTGATAAGTCACAGCTTCCTGTCCCATTATTTTTGAGTCACAGTCAAAACACTGCTGCATTATTACCTACGGGATTGCAACGCTGATGGGATTGTGTAACCAGGCTCAGATGCGCAGTACTTGCCAAGATTAATTTTCAATCCTCATCTCTAGCTTGAACTGATCTCCCTATCACAACTTAGGGACATTGGAGAGATGTCAAAGGGTGTGTTAGAGTTTGTACTTTAAGACGCCACACGAAAAATAATCCACAAAACTGGCTGGTGTCCACAGACCTTTAACCCGCACGGAGGACTCTGCTCTGTTTCACCGTGACTTCACCTGTTCTGGTTACACATGAACTACCGGAGGTTAGGAAATCGTCGCTACCAACTCTGAAACACAACGCATCAGCCATTTAGAAAAACACAACAAAAATAAAATCCTCTTCATCTTGTTTTTCCTGAGGAATAAAACCTTACTAATTTTGAAAGTTTTCAAAGCCAACTCATGTCACTCAGTAACATAATCTTCTAAGAGTTACTCTACCTCAATATCCCCACAGCTATGAATTTCAAACTAAAAACAATAGAGAGCATTTGGAAGCTGGTGAGTACTCCAGATCTGGGCTACCAAAAACCAACCAACCAACCAACCAACCAAGTGCCTTCATAACTGAAACTGGATGTGCAGTCTGAGGAGAGCCCTACTGTCCAAAATAACCCGTTTCATTCACGTCAAGTTGGAAACAGACACCAGGCGCCAGAGGCAGCATACAAGGAAGGAGTAAGCATCACTACACAAGGGCGGCACTTAGAACATGTTTCCTTTGTCTGCATTCTTGAAAATCCAGCAGTCACAGCCTGAATCCTCACTGCTCGCGATACAGGAGTCCCCCTAAAACGTAGAAAGGCCCAGGAACAATGGCAAGTGTAGGAGCCGCGACAGGCCGGAGACCGTGTCCCAGGATCGGGTAGACGGCTTTTATTTGCAGTGGGGGGGGGGGGGGGGGGTCCTGACTTTGCCGGGACAGCCGTTCAGTCAGCCAGGGACTCAACAACCCCGGGTTCTCGGAACGCCTGGTGTTCGCTCCGAGGCTTGAGCCCCTCCCCGCTGCCCACGTATTCCCAGAAGTGGGAATCCCAAGATCCTCACAACTCTACGAAAACAGAATCCGCTCCTGCTCCACACACACAGAGGGTTTGGTGTTGCAACTTGGGGGAAAAACAAACACCTTTCGGGTTCGGAAACGCAGGTACCCTGACAAAAAGCGAAGTCATTTCGCACTTCACAGCGCTGGACAAACGCAGAAGCTGGAGACCAAGGAGCGTTCTAGCGAGACCGAGGTGGACACCGGCAGACCCCAGCCACACGGAAGCCGGCGCTGTCTCCCACACACTGAGCTTGAAAGTGGCCCCCAAACCACAAAACACCCGGCCGGCGGGCACACCTACTTCTTAAACCACATGATCTCCTCGGGGTCCGCGATGCCGAACTCCCTCATCTTCCTCACCATGGTGGCGCTTTTCCTGACGGCCACCTCGTAGCGCTGGCTGCGCGTGAGGAAGTTGAAGTCCTCGTGCTGGAAGTCGGGGTCGTTCAGGATCAAGCTCTCTGGAAGGGAGGCGGAGGACATCACAGGGACAGACGGGCCTCCCGGTCCCCGGCCGCCGACGGCGACACTGCCCGGGGCCCGCCGGCCGCCCCCGGCCGCGGCCTGCGCCCCCTCCCCAGCCGACTCCGCCGCGAGCCGCGCCCGGGGACAGCAGGCCCGCCGCCCTCACCGATCTCCCGACGGCGCCGGGTATTCTCCGCGCTGCCGTCCAGCAGGTTAGTGATCAGCTCCGGGTTGAAGGTGGCGGAGGCCCGCTCCCTGCGCAGGTCCGGGTTCATGGTGGCAGCTGGTGGGCAGTGCTGGGCTCGGCGGCGGCGGCGGCGGGTGTCCGCAGGGTCAGCGCGGGTCCGGCCCTAAGAGCCGCTCCGGGACAGCGCGAGGCCCCGCCCCCACGCAGCGCCCCGCCCCGCCCCGCCCCGCCCCTTCTCCTTCGCCGCGGCCTCTCGGCGCGTGACTGGCTGAGGCGTGGGCGCGGGCGGCACCTCCCACAGCGCCCGCCGCAGGCCGCGGGGCAGACCAGTCCCCGCTGCCGGTCAGGGGAGACCCCACCCCCACCCCGAGCGACCCCCTCGAGGGGGACACCAGCCCAGAAAGTCGAGAAATTGTCGAGCTGGGGGAGGGAGTGAAGCGCTTCCGGTATCCCGCCCCTCCCCGTCAGGTGATCACGCGAGACGGAAAGAGAACCTGAAGCCCCGGCGACGCCCGGAACAGGTTGGCCGGGAGACTTGGAAGGGGCGGGACAACGAGGCACAGGCGGGACTGCGCTTGCGCCCTGGGTCTTGCCCGCCTGCCACTTCCGGGTCCGAGCGCGGAGTCCTACCCGGAAGTGATGGGAGGGCGGCTTTGGGGCTAAGATGAGGGCGGGAGTAGAGGGGAGTGTGTCCTAGAAGAATCCCGGATTGGGGGGGAAGGCCGGAGCCACAGTTGCGCCGCGGAGTAACTCCGGTTACCTTTTGCTAGAATAGGCTGTCCTTGCCACGCAGGGGCGGGGACCTGGGCGCGGGTGGCCGGCGCGGCCCGGCTAATTTGGAGCTCCTGGCTTTGGGGTGAGGCCGAGGGCGGTGCTGCCCGTAGGCCGGTCTTGGAACCCGCGCTGGTTTGGTTTCGCTGTTACTGTCGCGGTCACGAAAGTGATCCAGGCCCGCGTTTTAGAATCTTGGTATGGGAGCATTTCCAAGGGCAGGAAGGGGGCGTCCCCACGCACCACCAGAGTTTTTAGTTGTAATTCTGAAAAATACTGCCAGTTGATGACTTACAGGCTGTTGCTCATGAGTTCGTTTCGGTTACCTTGTGATTTCATGCCACGATAATGAAAGTCGCGCACTACCTCCTCTGTCGTCTGCATAATTTACCCTTGTCATGTTGAACAACGGACTTAACCCCTTGGCTTTATTTTACTTATTTTAGTAACAGAACTGTACTGGGAATAGTGTAAACTGAGTGGGACATCCCCCTCGGACATAAAACTCAAGGATCCTTTAAAAAAAATACTGTTTTAATGCAGTCATCTTAAAAAAAATACCAAGAAGATCGAGCGAATAAAATAGAACTTTAAAGATTCGTTGTCTCAGGCTCCACTGTACCAGGGCAAGCACTGTTGCTGAGGCTGTTTGAATACCCCCAGACTGCAAACATTTAGGGGAGGGAGGAAGAGAATATTGTATTCTTAGAATTGTATCTGTAAATCACATTGGATCTGTTAAAAACTAATTAGGAATTTGAAAAATTAAAATAAAAATGGCTACGGAAGCCAGGGAAGAAATCCTAAAACACACATACACATACGTAAAAATAACCCACATTATTTAGCCTGCTCCTTGTGGGTTGTGTTCATCTCAGAAATCCGCACTCGCGCTGTGGTGTGGAAGGTTAGGCCTCCTTTTGCAACGCCATGACCCACATGGGCTCTGCTTCCAACCCAGCTCCCTGCTGGTGCACCTGGGAAAGCAGTGGAAGATGCCCAAGTGTTGCAGCCCCTGCACCCGTGTGAGACCCAGAGGAGGCTCCTGGCTTCTGACTGGCCCAATTCTGGCGTTTGCTACCATTTGGGGAATGAAACGGCAGATTGAAGATCTCTGTGTTTCTGCCTTTCAAATCAATCAATCTAAAAGAAAAAAACTGGCGCTCCAAATGCAGCCAGCATAAGCTGTTGATAAGATAACGCTACCTGGCAATGCTTTATCATAGGTGAGCCGAAGGGCAGAAATTGGAGGTTTGGTTCAAGGCAGATCTCCCAGTTTGAGGTTTAGATTAGGATTGGATAAGATTCCCAGTGCCAGCTGGTGGAAACACCAAGGCAAGAGAATTCAGAGAAAACTTCGTGGGTGAAACGCCTGTTCGTGTTCCAGCTGTTTGCCTGAGCTGGACGGTGGGGCAGAGTCGGACATCGCTGTGTGTGGAGGTGGTGAGGGGTGCCTTTGGCTGTCAGCCTCCAGGCTGAGTGTGGGAGTAGATGCTGGTGGGTTTTGTTAGAGTCGACCGCCCGAAAAACGTCACCAAGAGACACGTCTCTTATGCAGACAGCACGGGGAAGCTTTATTGATTATCCAGCATGCTGGGGCTGTCTGATCATCATGAGCAGAGCAGCCCCGAATAACCAAAGGTCAGGGTTTATAAAGGCAAAAACCGCAAAACCGGGAAGGGGGGAGAGAATACACGGTTGTTAAGCGGTTGCTAAAGTCTTACAATCAGCAATTATGATCTTAAGACATAGACAAATCACATCTTCATTATTAGCCCAGGTAACCCAGGTGCAACCTTTCTACTTTTAAGCTTGAGCAATCATGCTAGGGGGTTTTGTGCTCTGCCAAGGGTGATGTAGTGCACTGCTATTGTCCGACTATTTGAGATCATAGTTTCAGACCAGAGTCTCACGGTGGGGGGGTTGCTTTCCCAGAATGCAGTCTCAAGTGCTCCAAAATGGAGTCCCTACTGTCAAGGTGCTACTTCACTCTGTTTTATTTTTACAGCTGCACCAGGAAGGTTTAAACCTGTAAGCTTAAGCTTAACTTTTTACACCCGCACATATACAATTTTAACTCTTCATTCCCCACTCCTTGTTGTGAGGATCTCTAATCTTAGAGATTATTTTTTTTTAATGTGACATATTGTTGTTTATGACCATGAGTTTAACATTTTTAACTTGTTTCCGCATGAAGGTGATGAGTCTATTTAACACACAAGGTCCTATGGTTACAATTAGGAACAATTAAGGGTCCTGCTAGGGCTGACAGTAGGGTAGTAAGCCATGGGGACCGGCCGAACCATGACTCAAACCATTTCTGTTGAGTTTCCCTCTCCCGTTGCCGTTTTTCCAGTTGTTTTTTTGAGTTTGGCCATGAAGTTTCTAACCACCTGGGTTCAGTCAGCATAAAAACAACATTTTTCCTTTAGGGCCGTGCATAACACCCCCCCCCCCATGAAAATAAGATCCAACCCCCGCCTGTTCTGTAATACTGAAATGCAGATACTGGGCTGCACCTGGGAGATTGTGGAAGATTTGTCAGGCAGAAGGGGCGGGGATCTCCACCTGGCAGGTTATCAGGTAGAAGGGGGCAGGGCAGGATGTAAAGGCCGGGCTGCCCGAGAAACATTGTCAGGACGACTGAGATGCAGATGCATATGCTGGGCACATTAGGCCTTTATGTCACACACACATAAGCTCATAACTGACTTTCTGCCTAATATTTTTCCCTCAAGAGGTAATACCCAAAATTCTTCTTTGGGATTATGGATGGAGTTCCGTTTTCTGTAACTTCTTCAAAGCTGGCATGTGGGCGTCGAGGGGGATTTGGGTATTTCCTCTTGCTACCTGTCTTATGGTGTGCAACAGTGGCCTTGGAAAGACTGTGTTGCTCGGTCCAGAGTGCTGCTCAAGTCATCCAGGGGAATGGGCTGGAAGTCTTGCCTGATGACCATTTGGAGTTCAACAGCTTTTAGTCTGTTAGAGACAAAATGAACAAGGGCATTAAAAACACACGGTGCAAAGAGAAGCATCAAGATTGCAGAAGTTAGTGGGCCAAGGAGAGGACATAGCCAGGATTTCCGGGACCAGATGTCAGGCCAGAAATCCCAGCCCTGCTTGGCCTGGTCCTGGAGCTGTTTGGCTTTTTCCAGGAAAAGTACAAATTTGGGTTTGTGTCTGTCTAGTCTGATTGACCCAGAGACAATATATATATATATTTTTTGGATATCTAGTAGCCAGTTTTGCTAGGAAGTTAAGCCAATGTACAAGACTAGAGTCTCAGGCTGGGAAAGAAGACAGATTAATGAATTATTTACATTTAATTATTTATATTATGGATTATTGTGCACCCCCCTCAAGAGATAGGCCCTTTAAGTCCTCAGTGAGGACTTGTCCAAATAGGTGTAGGGCTATCTGAGTTAACTGTTACTGAAAGCCCTGTTTTTAGGAACTGGCAGGGAGGGCTTTCTAAGCTTAATGTTATTGGATAGACTTTTAAGGCATGGCTGGGTGTGTGAGGCCCAGACCTATCCATGGGATGCTGGAAGAGAATTGAAAGAGATGCAAATCTCCTTTAAGGGAGGCACCCTGTTGACTTGCATTACACGGCTGGACTAGGAGGAGAGCTGAATAGGAGGCTGATAGAAATAGGCAACTTGCGTTTCACTGACCCTAGGCCATCCCCTCAATAGCAGTGGCTGGAGCTGGAAGCTGGGCAGAGGCTGGGCAGAGCCAAAGGCTTTTTAGCTCGGGGCCACAGGGTCTGCGGTTCTGAACCAGGAGTCCTTCGACACCCAGGGCAGTTCCGTGTCCAGTGACCGTGCTCTTGGCAGGGCTGACAGAAGGCATTTGCTGTCATGACAGCTGCTTGCCCAATGCCCTGGCTCCTTATATCAGCAACAGGTGCCGTTTGGGGTGCACTGGCCTTGCTGGGTCTCCTTGATGGCAATCACCGTGTAAAGCAGCCATTGATTGGTCTGTTGCCTATCCTCTGCTGCTTGCTTGCTCCTTGTTTTCCTGGTCTCTAATAAAGCAGACCAAGGAGGCAGCCTCTATGATGTCAGTCAAGGGGGTGCTCAACCCAATCCTGATTTTTGGAGATTTTTTAATATTAGGGTGAGCTAGAAAAACTATGGTCATGGGCAAATTCTGACACTTAGTATTTTCCTGCGAGTTAAGACCATGCCCATGAGGAGAACTATGACCCTTTAGGTAAGATCAACTGTGGTGACCTGCTTGCATACTTTGAGGTCGTCAGTGTAACTTTTTACACCGAAAAATTGATCTAGTTGTCATATTATTTTATACTTTAACCTTTTTTGTTGTTGTTGTTGTTGTTTGGGGCCCTATACTGTGGCCAGGCATTATTACAGAAAAGGTCAGTCATCCCTTACATAAGGTCTGGGGATCAAACCGTACGTCACAGTGGAGAGTCCTGCAGAACAGTAGTAACTTCCCTTCTGGAAGAGAAAAGAGGAGAAGTGAGGCAGCGAGTTGGGTCTCTAGCCTGACTTTTTGGGCTTTTAAATTAAACTGGCAGTTTAACCAGTGTTTACTGTGTAGCCTGACTTAGAGGAGAAATTGTGGCAGAGGTCTCTGCCATTCTTTGGCTTCCGGGTATTTACCGTGTAGCCTGTGGACACTAGAGCTTTCTTGGGTTTCTGGAACCCAGTTTTCTAGCATCTGCCGCATAACCATAACTTAACAGAGACAGTAGAGTACACAATGGATTAACATGAATTTTATGTCTCTTGTCGAATAAACCAGAAATAAATTTAAAAAAAAACCTTGTATATAAGAGTTTACATAATTTAGAATTATTTAACAGAGTCAAAAAGAGCTTACAGGACCTAACTCTAGAAATGGCAGAGTAACCGATTAAGCAGACACTGTTAAAATAGACGTTACAGTTTTTGCAAAAACAGATTTTAAGATTTCTGATTTAGACCATTTTTAGATATTTACTAATATTAGTACACATTTTTTTTAAACCCATTGTTATAACAGAAGATCAGACTTCAACTTTAGGTCAGTGTAATTTTGGCATTAGCACTTAACTCTGTAAATAATATTTTAAAATTGTAAACATTTTAAAACTTTTTATGACTTGTTTACACCTTTTGAAACTTTATACCCGTAGTTACTTTTACATAGCCTTGAATTGTCATGTATGGACAACCTATGAGAATACATGTTAATAAACTTAAACAGGTTTTTTTTAATTGAATTTGAGATGTTAAAAGTATATATTTTTCCAAGTTTTACTTAGCACTGATTCCTAGATGACTTAAGACACTGAGTTGTTAATGAATACCACACCATTATCTGAAATAAAAGTTAAAATTACATTTTTATGTTTTTAAGTAACATGAGGATAACACCTCCTGGACAGCAAACACTAGTGCATGTTTACAACTTTGAAAAGATCTTTATTATTAAGAGAAATAAGTTTAAAGCATATTAAAGACATGTAAAACTGAGCAAGCAAGCCACTGAGCAAACCTAAGGGCATTTGCATTACCTCAATTTTCTGAACCAATCTGCATTGGCTTACTTTAGTTAACAACATAAAGGCTTGTATACACAGAATTTTACTCTTATTTTTATAAGACCAGCTGGAAAGCAAAAACATAAATACAGCATAGGTCTGACACCATTTATAACATTTTAATATATTTTATATAATCTGAATTGACTCAAGCAGCTGTTACTTTAACAAATTTAGAGTCTCATCCTTTGAGAGTTCCAGGGATCCAACTGGAAGCCCCAAGTTGGAAGACTCGGTTTAGAATTTAAGCTGTCAGAGAGTCAAACCATTTAGCCAAAATTAGTACATTTTTGATCAGTTGGGTAATCACTCAGACATTAAAAACAGATAAACAATGTAAACAAACTTCGCATTGTTGTTTTCCCAATCAAGACTCTAATGGCAATAGAAAAACTCAAAACCTTCAAGACAGGTGAACGCTCTCAGATGAGTCAGGGGCAGCAGCACAGAAAAGAGCTGATTATCAGCATATGAACCCATTGTTTAGGTTTTCATTAGCTGCAAAGAGAAAAACCCATCAGGTTGGAAAGGGTTAATGGCTTAAGGTTCTGGCTCCCTTAGGTAAGGTCAGCAGTGGTATTGAATTGGAAATTCCTCCAGGAGAGGAAAAAGAAGCAGCGCTGGGGTGGGGGCTCTGCCTAGAGATATTTGGCTATGCCTGCCTGGGTGCACCAGGCCACATTGGACTAGAATAGAGTGCAGAGAAAGGCTGTGGTCCCCCATTTACAGGAAAGACTGCGCACACCAGGGCTTGGCAGGACTAACCGTGGGGTTGGGTAGGTGCGCCGTTTCACCAAGAGTGTTGGGAACCTTTTATAATTTAACCAAAGCCAGATCAATTAGGACTACTGCAGACACTCAGTCAATTACAACAGATAGTTAACTTTAGCTCTTTTCCAGATTTAGTCCTCAGGTAATCAAAGCTTAGCAACAGTAATAGTTCACAAAAAACTTTAAGACGCACCAGAGCTACCATAAGCTGCAAAGACGGAAAACTTTTTACCAGGTTGGAAAGGGTTGATAGGTAACAGGTAACAGCTTTTCCCTAGGTGCAGAGACTTGTGGAATTTCCCTCTCCCTTTCTCCTGCCCAGTGGTATAGGAATGGAGATGAGGAGAGCAAAAGAGTGGGGGAAGGAGCCCCCGGGAGGAGGAGGAAGGCAGAAAGCAATGACCTCCTCCTGTCTGGGGGCTGAGTGGGGTTTGAAATCTCCTATCACTCAAGGTTACCCACTACCTAGTTGTCTGAGTTTACCTGAAGGGCCAATATTAGCCTCGACCGAAGCTAAGCCCTGCTCGCGTAGCAGTAGGCAGGGTGACCAGGCATCCCTCCGAGAGAGAGACCTGATCCTCGGGTCGCAGCCCTTCCTAATTTCCCTCCCGTTCCTTACAATCCCTCTGGAGTTTCGGCCGTAGCTAAGCCGTGGCCAGGGGGACTCCGCGTTCTCGGAGAGCTGTGGGGTGCCGGACACTCAACGGTCACTTCCACAGATCCGATCCCGCTTGAGGGAAGGAATACTGACCTCCGATGTCTTCTCAAAATCCCGGTCCGGGTGCCCAGGACGGCCAGGCAGGAGAATGGCCTCTTTCACTCAGCGAATGAGTGGTAAATGGAATGAGCCCTCCGGGGGGCCAATCCACTCCTAGAGCAGGCCATTCAGAGGCACAGAAAGACTGCTGCTTTACCCTCTTAATCAGGAGAGAGAGATTAGATCCCCTAGCCCGCACATCAGGCCAGTGAGCCGAAGTAAGAGATAGCGGTGTGGACACAGTTTGACCCATGTTACAGACAGAAAAGCAATTCCCAAAAAACTGAAACCTAAAATGTAACCGCTGTTGGCACAAAACTCCCACCTAGGGGAATTTCTGATGGGAGTTTGGCTGAGCGTCCTCAGTCTCCCGGTCCTCTCGGGGCGTCCCCCAAGGTGGTAGCCTGGGGCTTCCAGGCACGTCTGCCAGCCACAGTGCATACCGTGCCAACCCAAAAACTGAAACCGAAACAGGCCTGTAACCCGAAAAACCGAAACCTGAAGCGCACATATACTGAGTCCCTACCTTAGGCGCCTTTATACTTACCCCAAGAGACTTCTGTTGGAGGCGTCCACGGGCAGCCCCAATCTCGCTGGGGCCTCCAAATGTTAGAGTCGACCGCCCGAAAAACGTCACCAAGAGACATGTCTCTTATGCAGACAGCACGGGGAAGTTTTATTGATTATCCAGCATGCTGGGGCTGTCTGATCATCATGAATAACCAAAGGTCAGGGTTTATAAAGGCAAAAACCGCAAAACCGGGAAGGGGAAGAGAATACACGGTTGTTAAGCGGTTGCTAAAGTCTTACAATCAGCAATTATGATCTTAAGACATAGACAAATCACATCTTCATTATTAGCCCAGGTAACCCAGGTGCAACCTTTCTACTTTTAAGCTTGAGCAATCATGCTAGGGGGTTTTGTGCTCTGCCAAGGGTGATGTAGTGCACTGCTATTGTCCGACTATTTGAGATCATAGTTTCAGACCAGAGTCTCACGGTGGCGGGGTTGCTTTCCCAGAATGCAGTCTCAAGTGCTCCAAAATGGAGTCCCTACTGTCAAGGTGCTACTTCACTCTGTTTTATTTTTACAGCTGCACCAGGAAGGTTTAAACCTGTAGGCTTAAGCTTAACTTTTTACACCCGCACATATACAATTTTAACTCTTCAGTTTCTCTCCTTCATGACCTTTCATCCATCCGATAAATATTTAATAGTACTCCAGACACCGTGTTAGACACAGGGACATAGTGAAGATTTAGAGTCCCTGGCCTCACATAGCCGACAGTCCAGAGGGAGACATGGACAAGGTTCGAGTCTAAGGAGAAGCAAGTGTGCATGGGGCCAGTGCCTTGGCGCACTTGGCTAATCCTCCGCCTGCAGTGCCGGCATCCCATATGGGTGCCGTTTCTAGTCCCAGTTGCCCCTCTTCCTGTCCTGCTCTCTGCTGTGGCCTGGGAAGGCAGTGGAGGATGGCCCAGTGCTTGGGCCCTGCACCCTCATGGGAGACTGGGAAGAAAGACCTGGCTCCTGGCTTCGGATTGACGTAGCTCTGGCCGTTGCAGCCATTTGGGGGTGAACCAACGGGAGGAAAATGATTCCTGGGTCTGAGCCGATGGGAGGTGGATGCTCTCACACGCAGTGAGGGTGGGATTGGAGGTTGTATTTAAAATTAAGCACAGGGCTTGGTTCTGGTTCAACATTTCCACCTGTGCCTGCTTCTTCTCCCTCCCAAGGACCCACCTAAATGGACAAAGAACAGGACAGGCAGAGATCTCAGCAAATCCTTGGAAGCTGGGAAACAGGTGGCGCCTATAGGGTTGGCAGAGCACAGGAAGTCACTCCCGCCAGTGCTGGGCAGTAAGATCAGAGATTCCCATGTTGCCGTGGGAAAGGCAGGTGCTTGGGTTTGCAGGGCGAAGGGCTGAGCAGATGAGGGAGTTTGATTTTGGTGCCTTTTTTTATGATCTCATGTTTCTTCCAGGTCAGCCCCTTCAGCTACATTCAATATATATAATATGATATGATATGATATGATATGATATGATACAACACAACACAACACAGCACAACATATATATATTGTATTTGGACGGCAGAAAAAGAGAGACAGAGATCTTCCATCCTCTGGTTCACTCCCCAGATGCCTGAACCAGGCCAAAGCCAGGCGCCCAGGGTTCAGTCTGTCTCCCCGCTGGGTGGCAGAGACCCGGGTACTTGGGCCATCACCTGCCGCCTCCCAGGGTGCACATTCACAGAACGCTGGGTCACAAGCAGCTCTGGGACCCAGACCCAGACGCTTACACGTGGGCTGCCAGCATCCTGACACCCGGCCCTGCTGTGTGCCTGATAGCTTTTGTTCTGCCCATTTGTTTCTTCCTCTCTTTTTGGAAATAGTTTGTCAGGGTTTTGAACCCTCAAATGAATAGTTTTCTTACCTTTTCTCTAATTTTTTTCTATCTCTTTGGACTTTCCCATCTCTGTGTTGGGAGATCTTCTTGACATCTTCCCATTCTTAATTAATTTGTTTAACTCTTATTTTAAATGTCCAAAAGCATTTTTTTTAAAGATTGTCTATTTATTTGAAAGGCAGAGTTACAGAGAAACAGGGAGAGAGAGAGGTCTTCTATCCACTGGTTTACTCCCCAGATGGCCACAATAGCCGGAGCTTCTTCTGCGTCTCCCATACAGGTGCAAGGGCCCAAGGACTTGGGCCAACTTCTACTGCTTTCCCAGGCCGTAACAGAACTGGATCAGAAGTGGAGCAGCCGGGACTAGAACCTGTGCCCATATGGGATGCTGGCACTGCAGGCAGCCACTTTACCTGCTATGCCACGGCGCCGGCCTCAAACATTTTTCATTCTAGTAATAAATACCCTATTCCTGGAATACTTACTGTATTTTATGAAGCAAAATGTTGCTGACCCTAAAATAAAAAACACAAGTAAGTAAGATCTTTAAATGGTTGTGACTTTATCCTCCAACACTCTGTATTATGACTGTGCTGTACTTAGGTTTAAGAATATGCTTGGATGAAAACTTGGAATTGGTGAGTTTTGGCTGTTTTTTGTTTAATAATTTCAGACATACACAAGAATTGAAAGAATATGGGCCCGCATTGTGGCAAAGTGGGTAAGTTGCTGCCTGTGACTCCCACATCCCGGATGAGCCACCAGTTTGATTTCTGGCTGCTCTTCTTCCAATCCAGCTCCCTGCTGTGGCCTGGGAAAACAGCAGAAGATGGCCCACGTGCTTGGGCCCCTGCACCCGCATGGGAGAGCTGGATAGAGCTCCTGGCTCCTGCCTTCAGCCTGGCCCAGCTCTGGCCGTTCTGGCCAACGGATGGAAGATATGTTTCACTGTTTGTCTCTGCTCTCTATCTCTCTGTCTCTCTCATTCTGCCTTTCAAATGAATAAATGTCTTTTTATTTTATATTTTACAAGATTTATTTATTTATTTGAAAGAGTTACATAGAAAAAGAAGGAGAGGCAGAGAGAGAGAGAGAGAGAGAGAGAGGTCCTCCATTCACTGGTTCACTCCCCAATTGGCTGCAACAGCTGGAGCTGTGCTGATCTGAAGCCAGGAGCCAGGAGCTTCTTCCTGATCTCCCACATGGGTGCAGGGGCCCAAGGACTTGGGCCATCTTCTACTGCTTTCCCAGGCCACAGCAGGGAGCTGGATCGGAAGTGGAGCAGCTAGGTCTTGAACTGGCGCCCATTTGGATGCTGGCACTACAGGTGGCAGCTTAACCTGTTTCGTCACAGCACCGGCCCCAATAAATGTCTTAAAAAAACAACAACAACAACAACAACAACAAAAACAAACTATTAATTTCAAACATACATACACAAGAATTGTGGGGGTGGGGGCCTGCACGCCGACACCCTGTATGGGCACCAGTTCATGTCCCAGCTGCTCCACTTCCAATCCAGCTTCCTGCTAGTGTACCTGGGAAGGCAGTGGAGAATGGCCCAAGTGCTTGGGCCTCTGCACCCACATGGGAGACCCAGATGGTGTTCTGGGCTCCTGACTTTGGCCTGGCCTAGCTCTAGCTGAACAGCCATTTGGGGAGTGAACCATTGGATGGAATAGCTCTCTCTCTCTCTCTCTGCCTTTCAAATAAATAAATAAATCTTAAAACAAACAAAAAGGAATTACAAGAATAGAAGGCCGAATTGGTTGGCCCTGCGGCTCAATAGGCTAATCCTCCACCTGCGGCGCCGGCATTCCGGGTTCTAGTCCTGGTCAGGGCGCTGGATTCTGTCCCGGTCGCTCCTCTTCCAGTCCAGCTCTCTGCTGTGGCCAGGGAGTGCAGTGGAGGATGGCCCAAGTGCTTGGGCCCTGCACCCCATGGGAGACCAGGAGAAGCACCTGGCTCCTGGCTTTGGATCAGCAAGGTGCGCCGGCCGCAGTGGCCATTGAGAGGTGAACCAACGGAAAAGGAAGACCTTTTTCTCTCTTTCTCTCTCTCTCTCTCTCACTGTCCACTCTGCCTGTCAAAAAGAAGGGAAAAAAAAAAAAAAAAGAAGAAGAAGGCCGAATGGAGAGACCTTTCGCCCGCATGCAGTAGTTTGGCCACAGTTGCTTTATCTTCCCCGCCAGCCACCTCTGCTTGCTCCCCCAGACCGTTGGAGAAGGCCTTGCAGACGTCCTGCCCTTTGTTCTAAATGCTTCGGTGTGTTCTCCAAAGAGCAAACTCGTTTCCCAGGACGATTACCAACTGAGGAAAGTTAACGGTTATCTAATACTATTACCTCGTGTGCAGTCTTTTTTCCCCGGTTTTACAATTATTTACCAGTTTCCTTTATCAGCATATTTTCTCCCAGTCCAGGACCCAGGGCAGGATCAGGTGTCCCCTGTGGTTCTGTTAGTGTCCCAGGGCTGTCCCCGGAAAGTGCCACCATCTGGGGCGGCGAGAACTCTGAGACGCCCACAGCACAGGTTCCTCCTGTTCCAGGCTTCGTGGGCGCCTTGTGGGCAGTCCTGGGCATGCCTTGGCTTGTGCCCGCGTCCTGCTGTCTGCCTTCGTCGTCACGCCCTGTGCGCCTGTCTGTTTCAGGGCCCAGATGTCCCCTTCTGCAGGACACTGGTTGTGCTGGATTAGAGCCCACCCAGGGGACTCCTGCTCACTTGGTGGCCTCCACAAAGTCTCTGTCTCCAGTCGGTCACCTTCCCAGTGCTAAGAGTCGGGGTGCAGTGCAGCCCTGTGTCTGTCAGCGTCTTCCAACTGGGGCAGTGTCTTTGTCTTCTGTGACGTTGACCCAAAGTACACGAGCCAGTTGGCTTCTAAAGGCCCTCAATTCACGTTTGTCTGACGTTGCCTCACAATCGGAGGACGCACTTTTGGCGGGAATACCTTGGGAGTGATGCGTGCTTCCCGGGACGTGGTATCCGGGTGGCTGCGAGGTTTGCTGGTTTTCCAGTTTCACATTTCCTGGGACCCTCTGTGAAGTGGGTCTTTTATTTTTTTTTTAATATTTTATTTATTTATTTGAGAGGTAGAGTTACAGAGAGAGGGAGAGACAGAAAGAAAGGTTTTC